CAATATGCATCAAACACATTACGATATTAATTTATTTCTAACTTAATTATGTTTTGAAAGTTAAGATAATATATATTAAAAACTAGTTGATTATATCTGTGCACGCCAAGACATCTGACGTAACACATTCCCGAAGGACCACTCGGGGAAACGCCCGAGAACTACTATGATTGTGGTGGGTCAATGCCACCACTAGCGCCGACTATTTGGATGGGTAGGCAACTATAGGTGCTTTCGCCTGATGGTTGGTGGGTAGGCAATTCTACGCACGATGACGACAACGACGAGGATAGGAAAGACCTACTTGACGGAATGAGGATGGTGCAGGCTAGTTATGGGGAGGGGGGTCTCTGTGATCGATTCGGTCTGGTGCAATGACCACAGAGCTCACAACAAACAGGAACAATACTTAAATCTATCTTAAAACTATTCGAAGTCTTGTGCTGTGGTTGAGCGGGACCGACGGTGATCTGGACGACCTGGGCGGCCTCTCACACAACGTTCGTTGCTGGCGGACTTACGCGGACCTGGAAGTCGCGATGATGACCTGGGCGGCCTCCCACACACCACGGCGAGTGCTGGCGGACTTACGCGGGAGTAGGTGGCACTTGATGACGGTGAGGCGCACAGTGTACGTACAAGCCGCCGGATCAGGTCACCCACGGATGACAAGAGTATAGAGCAATAATATAAAAAAATAACTCACGGTTGGAGTAGTAACAATTGGACGTTTATTATAACCAATAACGATGATGCCGTATTGCCGTTGCAGTAACGGCTTCCAGTAGCGACGCACGTACCGCAATGATAATAATTTAAAAATTGGTGTGTACCAAAATACGTACACATATAATAATTTATGGTTGGTGTGTATCAATAAATACGTACACCCGACAAAGATTGTAAAAAGACACGAAAAAAAGAAAAACGCTGCAATAGCGGAACAATAATAATTTTGTTAACGATTAGGATAGAACAACAATAAATTAACGTGTTTATGAACGAGCGATACAATTAATGAGAGTGTGTGTGTGTAAACAAAAAAAAAAGGGCGTTGGCCGCAATAATAAGATATCACGAAAAAGACAAAACAAAAACATTGATAATCGCGAGGCCAACGACCTAGCAATAATTATCACATATAGACAAAACAAAACACATATGGTAAATAACAATTACAATAAATCACGGTAGGAGGAGGAGGGACGATGTCGCCGTCGAGCTGATTAGCATATTATCACATTGATAATTTTCAGCGCCAACAACTACCTACTATAAATAAGTAAGAAAATACGTCATATTCTATACATTTATTTTAATTCAATGATATTTTATTTTTGTCTGGACGCACGACGCCATGGCTTGCCATATAATATCTTATACAGTTATATCCTATCATGGTCGAGCGCCTAGACACAGTGCATAATATTTTACTTACAATAAAAATATATACCTACCCCATATTTAAATAATATTGTGATCATGATGTGAAGCTACAAATAATAAGGCTGTTGTACATTTTTCGGGAAAGGTGATCATATTTATACTTTTTGAAAAATATCCTTGTTCCGATAAAATTGAAGAATACAAGCATACAGCTCATGATATTTACTATGATTATCATAGGCAATATGGAAAAAAAAGTTTAAATAAAGATTAAATAATTACATTTTTTTTCAAAAAAAAAAAAAAAAAAGGTGGGTAAGTGGATGTCGCTCTGCTGTACTGTGGGTCACTGTATAATGGATGGTATTAAATTTGAATGCAATGATATAATATCATTGTATAAGAAAAACGATTCTGAGCGCGGAGACGGTATGTCAGTCTAGGTATAAGACATATTATATACTTTTCTATGGTATTAAATTATATGGAATTTATGAATAAATTCCTTAAAATATGCACAGTTTTATCATGAGCATAATTCTTATTCCTTATACCAGGGGTCTCCAAACTTTTTTATTCAAGGGCCACAAAAAAAATCAAATTCTCTTAGCGGGCCAAAAGTTTATTAACACATATAATTTTTAATTTTATAATAATATAGGTACCTACCTATATAAATAATATGTTTACTTTATATTTTTCTTTAAAATATTGTTTACTTTACAATATACTTAAATAAAAATAATATAATATAAATACATTTTTGAAATAATTTTTTTATTTATATTTACCTATGCGTCCTATGCGGGCCACGGGCCGGTTAAAACTTGTTCGCGGGCCGTTTCCGGCCCGCGGGCCGTAGTTTGGAGACCCCTGCTCTATATCAAGAGTAAATAGGTAATTTATTATAAAAATAATGATTATTATTTCCAGAGAAGTAGCTAAAGGCGAAGATTTTCTATCCTTATCTTCTGATGATTTGGTGAAGCTTATTTCCTCTAATGACCTTGCTGTTCCATTTGAAGAAAAAGTAAGCAAACTACAAATTGCATTTTTAATATTATGAATGGAAAATAAACATATAAAGGTGGGCAAGTATACAGTACAGTTGATGTCTAGACTTTACAGGGCTCACTGTATCAGATGTGTTATATTTGAATTCAATGATATAAAATCATTGTAAGCGAAAAGGATTCTGAGCTCTAAAGGTTTAATAATATTACCAAGTATATTTTATGCTATGGCCTATGGTTGATAAACTAATTTATTTTACTATTAGACATTAGTAATACTGTATTTCTGGAGAAGTTTTAATTATTTTTCCAAAAAAGGTGCATATGAAAAGATCATTGTGTGCATACAATATAACAATATACTTTAAGATTTTAAGTTCCTAAAAATAATATTTTTAAATTAAATAACTAAAATCAATAAAGCTTGATTACCATAGAAAATGATTTTATTGACTGTTATTGAAAATAAACAAAAACATGTCTTATTTTAAATTTCTATAAATATTAAATAACTCTAAAATAGTTAAAACGTTTTTTTTAAATTATTTCAAATCAATTGTATCTCCTTGATGATAAAGAAGTATTGCAATCGGCTCCGACTGTAATTAATTTTCTATAACTTTCACCTCCACGTACCACATTGATTAGTCAGTAGGCCCAAACAATTTCGCAAACGCAGCACATAAACCTTCTACTGCATGTCTATATTGTGATTTATGTGTATTCAAAAATAACAAATACCTAATATATATTATTTAATACTATAAAAATATAAGAATTATTAATTAATATTCCTTTGCTTAATATAAACAGTAGGAACACATGATCTTAAAGATCTATTATATTTTTGGGATACTCTGATAATTATACACTATTGAATGGTTGAACAATCTATTATTATATCTTAATCTAGTTTTTAATATTTTTTATTGTAGGTATTTGAATGTGTTATCAAATGGGTAAAACATGATTCAGATCATAGAATAGATTTTTTGCCAAAACTAATGGAACATGTACGTTTGCCATTACTAAAGCCTGATATATTAATTAATATATCTGAAGAACCTCTTCTAAAAAATAGTCATAAATGTATGTTATTTTCATAAATATGCCATCATTATGGATTTATACATTTTATGAATTATTATTATAATTTTTTTAGGTAAAGATTATATAATCGAAGCATTACATTTTAATCATCAACAATTAGTTCAGCATTTCACCATTCCAAAAACAATTAGGTTTAAACCTAGACAGTTTGGTGGTTTTAAAAAAGTATGATTCCAAATTGATTAATTTATCTTCACAATAATTTTTTCGATTGAATTCTATTAGGTTCTTCTAATGTTCAGTAAGTCTAATATATCGCCAAAGTGTTATACCGAATGGTATGACCCAGCAACCAAGCTAAGAGAGAATGCACCAGGAATAAATGAATGTCGGAATTGTGCTGGTTTTGGTGTTATACGTGATCAATTTGTGTTTGCTGTAGGAGGTGTAAATGGATCAAGTTCTAAGTCTGTAAGTATGCTTGACGTATCTTCACAATCACCTTCATGGGTTCCAATGGCTGACATGTTAGTTAGTAGAATGGATTTGGGAGTTGGTGTATTGGATGATTGTATATATGCAGTAAGTTAAATCAATATTTTACTTATTTTATATCAAAAATGTATAATATTTGTAATTCTAGGTTGGTGGATTTGACGGCAACAGTGGTTTAAAAAGTGTAGAGGTATTTGATATCAGTACCCAAAAATGGAGAATGGTGTCTAGTATGACAATTGAAAGACGTAATTTGGGCGTATGTGTACTCAATAATCGCTTATACGCTGTGAATAATTATATAATTTCTTTATTTTTAATTTGCAATATGTAATTAAATTAAATCGTTTAGGTTGGAGGTGTTAATAAGGTAGTTTTGAAATCTGTGGAATATTATGATCCCAGTCTTAACAAATGGACACTAGTTTCAGAAATGTCTGAGTGTCGTCAAGGTGTTGGTGTAGGGGTTTTGGATGGTCTTATGTACGCAATTGGTGGCTTTACTGGAATAGAGGATCTTAAAAGTGTTGAGGTTTATAGACCAAGTGATGGAGTTTGGTCTTCTATAGCTGACATGCATTTATCCCGTTATTGTCCTAGTAACTATAACAATTAATTTTTTAGGACGACCTTTGTAAAAATATATTGAATTTAAATTACATTATCTTATAGGAGTAGCCGTATTAGATGGTTTATTGTATGTTTTTGGCGGAGACAAAAAACCTAGTGTTGATACTTTTGAAATTTACAATCCTAACACCAATACTTGGACCTTGGAAAGATTGTCAAGAAATGGAGTACAAATTTATGGTGGAGTAGTTGACGTGAGGAGTCCTGCAGTGCAACAGGCATTGAGAAACCGTTTTCCGGGAGCAGCCGGAGAGACGGCTTCGGACTGCGCGAGACTGGCGACCCTTACACTGGCGTTCGGGATTTGGTTTGTCGCCCAGTCCGTCGGCACCGTCATGTTTCTGGCGGCGGAGTTTCTCGGGCCCTCCAGCCGTCAAGAACAGCAGACGCCACTGGAAGTCCGATGGACGACACTCCGCTGCCTTTATGCAGCGTCGAGGAGCCATCAGCCGCGTGGACCGACACCACGTAAGTGCATTTACCTATAGGTATAATCAGAAATTAAATAATGTTTTTTTTTTTATATTACCGATTGACCAATTACATTTAAATATTGAAAAAAGAGACATGCTTTATTTTCGAAATTTGATAAGGGTATTCTGATGGACGAGGGTATGTAAAAAAAAACATTTCAACAGAAATCGTCTATTAACACCTTGAGGAGTCCTGCAGTGCAACAAGCATTGAGAATCCGTTTTCCGGGAGCAGCCGGAGAGACGGCGTCGGACTGCGCGAGACTGGCGACTCTTACACTAGCGTTTGAGATTTGGTTTTCCGCTCAGTCCGTCGGCACCGTCATGTTTCTGGCGGCGGAGTTTCTCGGGCCCTCCAGCTGTCAGGAACAGCAGACGCCACTGGAAGTCCGATGGACGACACTCCGCTGCCTTTATGCAGCGTCGAGGAGCCATCAGCCGCGTGGACCAACACCACGTAAGTGCATTTACCTATAGGTATAATCAGAAGTTAAATAATGTTTTTAGATTCTGAGCGGAGCGATGAATGTATTGGTTTTACAATGATGTATGTTTTTTTTTATATTTTTATTTATATTTTTATATTTTTGTGTCTGTCATCACGTTTTAGGACAGTAAAAGTGCTTGGATTTTCTTCATCAGTAGCTTTTCTGATAGGAAAGTGAATCTAGTTGGTACTTTGGGGGGTCAAAAGTATAAATTTCCCAGTAGTTTTCACAAGCGCCGGGAAAAACAACATAAAAATTAAGGAAAAACGGGAATTTTTACGCAAAATTGGTTTTCCAAAAAATCGATTTTGGTTATTGGTGTAACTCTAAAACAAATGAACGTATATACATGAAATTTTCACTGGTTGTTTATATTTGCATTTTCTATACACGATAACATTTTCAAAATATTTTGATTTATTTTGAACTGTTTAGGGACATTTTCATTTTCCATTTTTTTTTAGTTTTTTTTCTAAAAATATCAATAAAATTTTATTTATTGGTTGCGAAAGCTTGAAAATTTAATAGAAGGCTCCTAATATGTTGTTTCAAAGGCAGATGAAAAATATTAAAAATCCTTAGTCACAATTTTTTTTTATAAGCATTTAAAGTTCAAAAATTGACAAAATATGGAAAAATCACGAAAATTAGCAAATTATTTTGAGTTAAGAATTCGTAAAAATTTTTCTTTTTAAATCTAAGATTTGAAAATGAAACACAAGATTCCTTATAAGATTATCTACCTTTATCAATAAAAAAATCTCTACCGGACAGTCAAATTAAATTTTTATGAGCGTTTGAAATTCAAATTTTTACAACATTGGATTTTCACTCGATTTCTCATGTAGCGATTTCCTTATTTTGTTGTAATTCAAAAACGAATAACTGTAGATACATGAAAATTTCACTGAATGTTTATATTAGCATTTCCTATACACCATACAATTTTGAAAATATTTTGACTCTTTTTGAGCTGTTTATGGACATTTACAGCTTTCAATTTTTTTTAGTTTTTTTTTCTATAAATATCAATAAAGTTTTATCTGTTGGGCCAAAAAGTGTAAAAATTTAATACAAGGCTCCTGATATATTGTTACAATATCAGTTGAAAAATATTAAAAATACATAGGCACGATTTTTTTTTATAAGCATTTAAAGTTGAAATTTTGACAAAATTTATCAAAATCTCGAAAATTATCAATCGTTGGAATTAAAAAATTATAAAATGTTCAGTTTTTATAACTAAGAGTTGAAAATTTAAAACAAAGATTCTCTTAAATAATTCATACTGTAACCAAAAAATCTAAAAAATATATAAACACACTTATTTTTTACAGACATTTTAATTTCAAATTTAGACAAAATTTCATATTTAAACCAAGAATTACGATTTTAGTTATTTTGTTGTGATTGTATAATATTATTCGTGGGTACTTGAAATTTCTAAAGTAATCTACTATATATATCTATGATAGTATCAGGGTTTGTTGTTGGTGTATAACGCGTTATAAGTACCTAATGGCTATTATTGTGATATGATTAATTTGGAATTCATTATAGGTCAATTTTTTTAATACCATAGATATGTATATAATATGTCTTATACCTAGAAGGACATACCGTCTCCGCTCAGAATCGTTTTTCTTATACAATGATATTATATCATTGAATTCAAATTTAATACCATCCATTATACAATGACCCACTTGTAACCTACTGTACAGCAGAGCGACACCCACTTGCCCACCTTTTTTTATATTACCGATAGACCAATTACATTTAAATATTGGAGAAAAAGACATACTTTATTTTCGAAATTTGATAAGGGTATTCTGATGGACGAGGGTATGTATACTGTTCGACAAAGGTACCTACTGTAATATTTTTTGCATTAAAAATAAATAAAACCGTTTTCGTGGAAATAAAAGTGAACATATTATTATTTCTACTTAATTTTAATTACCGAAATGTAATAATTATTGTCTATAATGTAATAAAATATTATAACAACTATAGCTGTCCCGCCCGACGTTGTCCAGGCCAAAGATTTGTATTTTTAATAAATATATTTGTACAAAATGTATATTATATCATATTTCTTCTAATTATAATATTAATAAAATATGTAACAAATTGTGCAACCATTTAGATTGACAAAAAATAATTTATTTTTTCGTATGCTAAAAAAAAATCATGTGTGCTCCACCCTCTTTCTTTTTAATTTTCAAGTAATAATCTATTGAAATAACTTTTATTGACTTTTTTGAAACCTTCCCCCGAAACTCAACCGATTTATTAGTGAAAACCGCATAAAAATGTGTTCTTTTCAAGACATGCTCGTACATACAAAAAATAAGTGGCAGTGTTTCTCTACTATACTATACATATTATAATATAAAATACATATAAACCTTCCTCTTGAATCACTCTACCAATTAAAAAAAAACACATCAAAGTCTGTTGCGTAGTTTTAAAGATCTAAGCATATAGACAGACAGTGGGACTTTGTTAAGATAAAGACTTATTATTTTTTTTTTATAATTTAAATATTTTCTATATGTTTGTGTCTATAGCAACCATTATCATAAACAAAAATTTCCATCGTAAATCTCAAAATCCCTTTTTGAGCATCTCCTAGGGGTGTTTCTCTTTTATATTATGCATGGTATATACAAATAAACCTTCCACTTGAATCACCCTCTCAATTAAAAAAAACCGCATCAAAATACGTTGCGTAGTTTTAAAGATCTAAGAATTCAGAGAAAAAAAGGGACTTTGTTAAGATATATCAAGTACCTATTATCTGCATTTTCTAATAATTGTAATATTTTCTGTTTGTAATAGTCATTACTGTAGATATTGACTCCGAAAAGATTATGATGGCCAAGCAAAATGCCGCCATTTATGGAGTACTCGAAAAAATTGAGTTCGTTGTTGGAGACTTTTTCAAACTGGCAAGTCAGTTATAGTCACATCGCCACCATGGGGCGGTCCAGAATATAGTAAAATGGGCCGTTAGATTTGTGCGTGGATAAGATTCTGGAAGTGGGGAAAACGATTGCCCCAAAAATACTGTTACATCTGCCAAAAAACCTCGATAAAAACGAGGTTTGTACATCATTCAGCTTAAACATGGAACAATAATTTATATTTTAAATGTCTATAGTTGGAAAATGTGCAACGGAGTTGGTGCCAACTTTCGGAAGATTGAAAATGTGTTTATGGACACTGGACAGGTACCTCAACTCGACGTTGCTGTATGTCCGATCCAATAATGATGTAAGTTATAAGTCATTGTGTATTTAATACAATAAAAGCGTAGTAAAACATAATTAATAGACTATATTAATATAGTACCTACCTACTTTATTAATTTAATATACCTGACCATGTAATTATGCATAACAATATTATAATAATGTATTATTTATGTTTGAATTCATTAGAACAATGCCATGACAGAGGTCACCCCCAAACCGCTCGACATCCATCTGCATAACTGTAAGTTGAAAACTTATCTATATTTAAAAATTGTTATATTATAATATGTATCTATAATCTATTAATTTTCATTAGCATTCCGGGAGAATGAACGGTACAATTTATTGATAACTTACCAAAGTTATCTGGTGGATGTCGATACGTTGGTGAGCAGCCGTCGCGCATCTTAGTGATGTAATTTCCTCGTTTTTTTTATTAAGGTTAAGGTGTAACAGGATTTTAGGGGCTATTATCTTTCCACTAGCTTCCAGGACTTTATCATACATACACAACCGACAGCCCGATGACATTCATTTATTTATATTCTGGTTCACCCCATGATGACCGCGAAGTAACTGTTACGTCACCGTTTATCAGATTGCCCAGTTTGAAAGAGTTGCCAACAACTTGGTCCATAAATCGTGGCATAGCGCTGGGCCAGCATAATTTTGTCTGGATCAATATCTACAAAAGCAAAATCTCAATTATTAGAAGCTAATAATATAGGTACGTATGTACTTAATATATATATTATAATAATACTAGCTGATCCTGTGCACTTTGTTGCCCGTTAAATGTACCAACTCTATATGACTCAAATTTTGTTCAATTCGTTATTTAAAATTCGGTGTATGGTGTTCAAAATGTATCTTACCTATTCTGTTGCCTGGAATAAAAATTCTGATTCGCAGCAGTATATATCAGGTAGGCAATCTACCTGCGGTAGATCACAGACCCAGCTGTGTTTGCACGTATAAGTGTAAGATTTAACTCTAAAGTATCAATGTTATACCAAGTTTATTTTGATTTATTACGGTGGATTAATATAACAAATTTGGTTGCCCGTAAAAAATCGCAACTATTAAAAAATGTATGATTGTTCAAATCCTTTTGGGTGTAACTTGCTGCGATAAGTGCAACTCAGCCACCCTGGTAGGCAATGTTCAATAATTCAATTTGATGCAAGCTTGTACCCGATCTGCCCGAATAACCAATGGCAACCAATAATAAATAAATGCTAATTTCTACTGTAGACTGTAACCAGTGGCAACTATTAATAAATAAAAATAAAATTTCCAATTTCCATCGTGAATCTCAATGTCCCTGTTTGAGAAGCACCTATTTAAAAGGCGAATTTCGGCAAATCCTTTCTTATTGCACGGTGTAAATATGAGAAGAACCTCTATTCCAAATTTCAAGTCATGCATAGTCATGCATAGTTACTCGCGCATGTTATAAGAAATGCAGGTTTTAAATAAGTTATTGCTAATTATTAAAATAAAATAAAATTGTACTCACACAGTTTTTCTGAAAAATGGAAAATGAAGTCGTAGTAATAAATTAATAAGTATAACAAAATAATGAACACAAAACTATAAAATAACCATAGAAACCATAGATTATACTAATAGTACATCGAGCTGACAAATAATTATAAATAATAAATAGTATTAATTGCCATAGAGATGTCTACGTCTACCATAGAGTAAATAAAGACAACGGTATCGAGTTCAAATCCCAGACATCAATAAATAGTTTTTCTAATTATTCGGTTGACTTTTTAAAAATTTTCTTTCTTACAAACCTTCTCCTGGCAATTACGAACATCTTAAAAAAAATTTGAGACAAATCGGACCAGCCGTTCTCAATTGATGAATTGTTATACATTTTTGGCTCAATTTTTATATATATAGATATATAATATAATATTAAACCGCCATTATACCCAATTATTACATTGCAGTTATTACGATTAAGTAGAAATAATATTTTCAAATAATATTACAGTGCCTTTGTATGAAGTTTCCGCTGCTCCACAAAACGGGTCCACGCCGGACGCTGAACATGGGAAGTCCTCAAGTCCGTGTCTTCCCAAGTCCACCTAGCATCGTATTTTATGGACCATATACAAGTTCGGCCACACTAGCTGGTCTGAAATGCGATTTCATTGGCCGTTGGACCGGTGTACATTGTTGACACTTATCAGTTTATCACCACTTATTAACACTTGATTAATGATTACTTGAACACATCTCGTGACTCAAATAATACAGTTTTCTCTCAATTTGTATAATACTTATCATACATACTACATAATATTTCATGTATATTATATTATATTGTTCTATGATATAAAAGTAAAGAAAGTGGTTTTTTTTAATTTGTTGTAAAGTTTTTTTTGATTTGCTAAAAATCTAGTTGTCCACAAAAAATGAAAATTAGACTTCAAAATTACGCAAAATAACACATATATTAAAATTTGAAAAATCGGAATTGTATATGCTGTCGAAATGGAGCTTACTGATGATGAGATTTTGATCTGATTTTATTTTAAATTTTATTTTCGATACGAATGTACGGTACAACTGTACAAGTGTACAACGCATATAACGTTTTATACGTAGGTATGGTACCTGCTACCTGCATATAAACATCAATTTATTATGGGTGAATAATACGGGCTACGTGCGATTATTAAAAAATATGTAAAGATTATAATATAATTATTATAATTATTAAAATACTTCTAAAATATTCGTACCTGCGTAAATAGGGAAATACGAGAAAATTCCGATAGAATAATTATATTATTAATAAAATATATATTAATGTCGTAATATCTAAATTCCTATACACTCGAAAACAAAAAAAACATCCACGCGGACACGATGACGTGCTGTATCGCGATTTAAAAATCAAAATGATTAATTTTTCTCACGATAAAACATTTAACGGGCCTTGATTTATAAATTATAGGGGTTCCATTATAATATTATATTGTCATTGATTCCAACCATTCGCTTATCAGTTATAGATTGCCGTTTCGCTCGATGACTTGCATTCTGTAATTAATTAGTTATAAATTATATAGGTATTGATTTTTGGGCGTCGCGGCAGAAATGCGAAAGCAATTCCCGCGGCGCCGTCGGTTAGTGGTTACAAACTGAAAAAAAAAAGTTATAAATTAAAATCAATATAACATTTTTGTAGTAATATAATTTATAATAATATATTAAATTACATTTTTTAATAAATTTAAAACCTGATAAATGACTATATAGTTTGCGATAAATGAATCGCCGTGTCCTATACAATGGAAAACGTAAATTATATTTCTCAAATCGCGTATCACAGGCATGACAAGATCTGTAGTATAATAGCATCCGTTTCCCAGATGTAGGTGCTTATATGGCTATATCATCAAACCGTAAAAAATACGTCGTTATAACAATATTCAAAATTTTGTTCTTAGAAGTTAGAAGTCGGAATATAACTTGAATATATTGGATGTAACTACAAATACCTCGAATAACTTTCTCGTAGTAATACGCTAGGTGAATCACCGAAAAAGTCTTATAAACAAACGATATTTATACTATTTACCGATTATTTTAAAAATCAATGAATAAAACGATTTTCTAAACACATTGAAATAATTTCTGTATTACAAAAGTTGATTCCAAATCTACTCAATAAAATTAAAACTAGTAATAATGATTTTTAAAAATGTGTACACTTTTATAAACATGTTTTACCCAGTTAAAATACATTTGAATAAGAATTAAAAGTATGGATGGAAAAATGGAAAAAAGTTCCCGAGAATAAATGTCCTATTGATAATTTGAATAAAGTGTCCGTTGAATTTTTTTCTATTTTATGGTAGGTGATGGTAGGTATTGATGTCAATAATGTTAGTAACTATTTAGTCTTTATTGGTATCAACGTAGTCATCAGAAAGAACGATTTCGGCATTAAAACAATTGAAGTCGTACTTGGGAAATAGTACACGCATTGATTTGAGACTTGTATCGAATTTTCAATTTTTCTAAAATTATATAACACAATAAGTACCTATATAGGTAATTGATGTTAAGAGTACAAACAAAATATTGTACACCATTATACTATGATGTATTATATATGAATGTATAAATTCTATAAAACGCATTATAAATATTGTGAACATATTATAAATGTTTCTACAAAAGAAATTTGTGAATTTTCAATTTGATCAGGTACGGAGTGGAGTAAATATTTTTTTTACACTGAGGTTAATAAATAAAATATAAATATTTTCGTATCATATTCATATAATAACATAATATAGCTATTGGCTATATAGATAAGTTTTTATAATGTATGCTCTAAAAGTCTAAACAGATAAATAGATAATATGTACAAACTTTAGAATAGTTAAAAATGTTTAAGAATAATGTCAAATATTTTTCATGTACCTTATATTATAAGCAAATGGCAAAGGCGTGGATTGACCATCCAGCAATAACAGTTGCGATTTCCGAGTGTGGGACTGGGGATTATGTGTTGTCGGCAAGGACTAAACTGTAAAACAATTAAACAAATTTCTAGTTCCATAAGTATCCACTGAGGCAGCGCTAGTATTGCTAAAAGGAAAATATCCCCCCCGAACTCCGTCTGTTGTACTACATTTCGTCGTCATCCCACCACCGCACCCTCCAAAAGTGTCGTG